GAATTTCTTGAAGTGTTGCAATTTTGTATTTGGCAATAAATTCTGATTTATAGGATTTACGGCCATTGCCATTTAGTCTTTTTCCATCAGCTGGCACTTCGAATTAATGGCAATTATGATTGGATAATTTGGCGATTCTATAGGAAGATCTAAGGTGCAGTAGTATCCTGACTGTACTGTTTGCTAAAGGTATTTGGAAAGAATGACAATGTCATTTCTTTTCATATTCTTTTTTCCCTTTTATAAACAAGATTAGTTCTCTGAAGACATAACTGCTTACAGTTAATTTATATTTGTCCAGCTTTTATCTTTCTTCATTTGCAAATTTAGGTTGCCAATGCAATAATAGACTTCTACTTCAATCTAAGAGTACTAAGATTGACTTTCTTGTCAATAATTTCTGTCTCCAGATTTATATATTTGTTGCTCGATTGTTATTGAGAACCTTACATACTTGATTCACATGCTTTTTAGCGCAGTTCTTAATTATGTTCTCTCCTTAATGTTATATGGTGTCAGCTGAATTTCTAATTTTGTTTAAAGTTAATGAAATGCCAAGAAAGCGTTAGATTGCTTCCTTGGAACCTTATCTCGGCTTATAAAATAATCTATTCCATCATTCCTTTGTCAGTTTCTTATTGTAGCGTCACTCGATCCTCATCGCAACAGATGAAAGAGAAAGATCGAAAGAACAAACTGGGAATATGAGACTGCAAGATACTAAGATTGGGGTTACCTATGTGTCTTTGCTTTGTTCATCTGGTATGGTGGAAGTATGCACTTCTAAACTTTGGGGGTGAGGGGACAAAAAGTAGCAGAAGTACATGTTCATATCAAAGACCAATAGATAGCACAGCTTCTTTCCATAATTTTTTTTATCACTAGACCTTATTTATCAGAAGTCATTGCATTCAATCTCCTTTCTGTGTTTTAATTTTTTGTTTTGGTACCTGAGTAGTAATATCCAGCATATTGAAGATTAACAGGAACTATTGCATATGTTGTTTGTGGTTATGGTTAATATCTGAAAGTTCTTGCTAGATATTGTGCACTTGTATTTGGATTTGTGAAAGGTTTTTAACCTCTGATGCCTTTTCCAAAAACTGCCTAACTCTGCTCTCATCGTAACTCAGATTCTCAAGTAAAGGCACAGCCACAGAAAGAGGAAACAGAGGTCTGAATTTATGCCTAGCATCTCCTTGAGAAAAGATTGAGAAAGTGGATTTTGCTATAGCTTCATTTCTATATCATCATCAGCTTTATATGCTCTCAGTTTGAATGTTTTCTTGTAACCAGCAAACAATCCAAGGAAATGCAGAGAATCCCTTCTTTTCTCTACTTAATGGACTTGGAGTTTTTGGTTCGGGCGTGCTTGGTTCTCTTTATGCCTTGGCTCGAAACGAGAAGGCCCTTTCTGATGCAACCATTGAATCTGTAAGCTAGATATGTTCTTCTGTATATGTTCTGTTATATAAGTTTTCTGTAATTTTAAGTCTCAATGGACGCAGTTGGGATCTTAAAGCAAAGTGTTACTATCATCTTACTGACATTCTATATCTATTACATGGTACGATTACTTCTGAAAGTATAATGCCCTTGAGCAACATTTCTTAGCAGAGACTGCAGAATACAATGAAGGGGCAACTTGTCTAAATTAGTCGCAGTTTGGCCTGAACTTAACTTATTGCTAACAGTTTAAACATAAAACATCTGCAAGTGATCTTAACATGCTTAGACCATTAGCTTAAACTTTATTCTAAATTGTAAGAATATAGGCAGAAAGAATGAGTTTTAGTTTCTTGGGTTGCTTTTACTAATTAGGATCTGCTTTCATGTACTCAGATGAAAAATAAGCTGAAGGAGAAAGAAGCTGCATTTGTTTCAATGGAGAAGAAATTTGAGTCTGAGCTGCTGAACGAAAGAGAAGTTCGAAATAGTCAACTTAAGAGAGCAGGCGAAGAGCAGCAAGCTCTGGTTAACCAATTGAATTCAGCAAAGAGTACAGTAACTAACCTTGGTCAGGAGCTGCAAAAAGAAAAAAGATTTGCTGAAGAGCTCAAAGTTAAGATCGACGGCCTTCAAAATAACCTCATGCAGACGAAGGACGATAAGAAGAAATTGCAGGAGGAGCTTAAAGAGAAGCTTGATTTGATACAAGTTCTGCAGGAAAAGATAACTTTACTTACTACAGAGATCAAAGATAAAGAGGCAAGTCTTCAGAGTACCACCTCTAAAATAGCTGAAAAAGAATCAGAGGTAGATAAATTGAGCTCAATGTATCAGGAATCCCAGGATCAGCTGATGAATTTGACTTCAGAAATCAAAGAACTTAAAGATGAAGTCCAGAAAAGAGAGAGAGAACTAGAGTTGAGATGTGAATCAGAAGACAACCTGAATGTGCAATTAAATTCTTTGCTCGTTGAGAGAGATGAATCTAAAAAAGAGCTTGATGCTATTCAAAAGGAATACAGCGAGTTCAAGTCCATTTCAGAGAAGAAAGTGGCTTCAGATGCCAAGCTGTTGGGGGAACAAGAAAAGAGACTACACCAGCTCGAGGAACAACTTGGTACTGCCGTAGGTGAAGTAAGAAAAAATAAAGTGCTAATTGCTAATCTGACTCAAGAAAAAGAAAACCTAAGGAGAATGCTGGACGCTGAGCTGGAAAATGTAAGCAAGTTGAAGCTAGAGGTCCAGGTTACTCAGGAAACTCTTGAGAAATCAAGAAGTGAAGCTTCTGATATAGTAGAACAACTACAGCAGTCGAGGCATCTTTGCTCTAAGCTTGAAGCTGAGGTTTCTAAGCTTCAGATGGAATTGGAGGAAACAAGGACATTGTTACAGAAGAACATTGATGAGACAAAACGTGGTGCAGAGCTCTTAGCTGCGGAGCTGACCACTACTAGGGAGCTTCTAAAGAAAACAAATGAAGAAATGCACACCATATCCAATGAACTAGCTGCTGTTACTGAAAATCGTGATAACTTACAGACGGAGCTAGTTGATGTCTACAAGAAAGCAGAACGTGCTGTTAATGAACTGAAACAAGAAAAGAATATTGTCGTGACATTGGAGAAAGAGCTAACATTTTTGGAGGCTCAAATTACAAGAGAGAAAGAGTCACGGAAGAATCTGGAAGAAGAGTTGGAAAGGGCTACAGAATCACTTGATGAGATGAACAGAAATGCTTTTGCACTTGCAAAGGAGCTGGAGCTCGCTAATTCTCGTATTTCTAGCCTCAAAGACGAGAGAGAAGTGCTCCAAAAGTCTGTTTCTGAGCAGAAGCAAATTTCTCAAGAAGCCCGAGAAAACCTTGAAGATGCCCATAGCCTGGTGATGAAACTTGGCAAGGAACGCGAGAGTCTGGAGAAGAGAGCAAAGAAATTGGAAGATGAAATGGCATCAGCAAAAGGTGAGATTTTGCGGTTGCGGACACAAGTAAATTCGGTAAAAGCTCCTGTTAACAAAGAGGAAAAAGTTGAAGCTGGGGAAAAGGCAACAGTAACAGTGAAGAGAACAACCAGGAGGAGGAAGACTGCTACTCCTGCTTCTCAACAAGAAGGCTCATAATTTGCTGTTTCTGAAGTGACATATATCCTTCCTTTTTTCCTTGACTCATATTAATTGCAACGAGGGTAGATTAGTGGTTCATTATAGAAAACCAGAATGAGGATATTGCCTTTGTAAGAAACTTTCTGCAAGCTGTATTCTCAGTGAGTAAATTTCCAGGCGAGAAGTTGCACAAATAAATGAGATATTATTGTTGCAAGTACGAAATTTGGAAGGGATTGTATGATATCAATATGTAGAGTACTTTCTCAGTTCCCCTTGTCTAGCAGATTTAACATTTTTCCACTGTAATAAAAATGTACGAAAGTTGAAGGGATTGTATGATATCATTGTGTAGACTGTAGAGTACTTTCTCAGGTCCCCTTGTTTAGCAGATTAACATTTTTCCACTGTAATAAAAATGAAAATGCAGCTGATACCATCTATCTTAGAATTGAAAAATAAAGTGCATCAAAATTGCCTGACCACAGTGGGAGTCGAACCCACGACCTTTTGATCCGAAGTCAAACGCGCTAATCCACTGCGCTATGCGGTCTTCTTGTTACATGGTCCAATAAACATATTCTTGTTATCAGAATCCTTCAGCTACATTCTCAAAATCTCAACTGAAGTAGAACACCATCTCATTTGAAGTAGAACGCCATATAAATAACAATTTATTTGAGTTATATATTCTCATTTAATCTAGAATCGCTAGAACTTTGTATTTTCTAAAAGTGTTATATGAAGTCCATAAGTTTCTATCTGCATTAACAACTTGTTTGGCCAAATTACTAAAATCTGCTTATTTTGAGAAGTATTTTTTTGAAAAGTGTTTTTCAAAAAAGTACTTTTGGTGAGAATCGGTTTGTGTTTGGCTAATTAATTTGAAAAATACTTTTGAGTAGTAATTAGTGTTTGGCCAAACTTTTAAAAATTATTTCTAAGTGAATTTTTCTCAAAAGTGCTTTTTGGAGAGAAACTACATTTTTCTGCTTCTCAAACACTGCTTCCGCTTCTGCTCAAAAATATTTTTTTCCTTCTAAAAGCTTAGCCAAACACTAAACACAAAACAAAATAGTAATGTATCGGATTTTCATAAAACATGTATCGGATTTGTACTGAGTTTCTAACACAAAACAACCACAAATTTTATTTAAAAGGTAGTAATAATAATTTTACATTAAAAATAATAAGATGAAAGGAAGCATAAAGAAGAACTTTTACACAATACTCTAGGGAGGGAAAATAGGTGAAAATTAAGAGGATGATAATGCAACATTTAAAGGTGATTTCAAAGTGTTACTAAATATCTAAATGTGTATAGACTATTAATTTAGTAAGTTTAATTTGATTTTGCATGTCTCTTATTTTTTTAAAGTTTTGTTTTATCTTTTAGAAGTAATTTATTTTGATAATAAAGCAAATAGTACTACTATGTAATGTTTGGAAAATGAAAAAAAAATACCAGAAAGAGTTCAGGTGGAGACGCTGCCCCAAGTTCTCTCCAATTAGAACCGAAGTCATCGTTCGGTAATTGTTTTTACCAAATTTATACTCTTTCTTTTTCCCAGATTTGAAATTTAGATTTCGTTTTCCATCAGCTGGATTTCAAGCAACTCGCTTCGACCTGTCGCGATTAGGGTTTCTCCTTCTGTTTCCGATCCCAATTACTCATCATCCGTCGCTTTTAGCGCTATTAAATTAATTTTTACTTTCAATTCACTTCAATTGTCATTATCCGCTTGAACGCTGAATGAATCGACCTCAAGCAATTTATTGTAAAAAAACTCTGTGCTTTGAATTCTGATTCTATCAAAACAGTAGTTTGGTGCATATTCTAGAGGAATTGGAACAGTCATGTTCTATGGTACAGCGGTATGGGATCCGTGGCTTATTGTAGCGCAGATTGTGTGTTTACAATGCCTATACTATTTGACGCTGGGGATATTTTTGGCAATTCTTGTCGGGACTCGGGTTACTCGAATGAGTTTGGTCTATTTCTTTGATTACGCCACTGTTACTGCTTCCACCGTCACCGGATGGTGCGTCATTGCCGCATTTATTCTCACTTCACTTGCAGGGTGAGATTTCTGGTAACTTTTGTTTTCTTTTTCTGTCTTCTCTATTTAGGAAGCTTTTGTTTCAGTTCCCTCTTGATTTCCTTTGTCTTTTGCTGATCTAATCTAAATGATAGGATAATATTTGTATTTGCAATAACATTGGCATGAGATGATTTTAAATGGAGTAACGCTGTCTATGAGGATTCATATAGTTGACCCCAACTTGTTTGATATTGAGGCATAGTTGTGTTGTTGTTGTATAATATTCTTCATTCCAAATTTTCTAGCATAGATGTGTAGTGAAGAAAATAATTAAGTAGAATTGGCTGCTGAAATCAGTCTAATTTCCAGTGTCCATTTTGTATGATTATATATTTAGCTTGGGTTTGGTGAGCTTGTTGATACATAAACAGTGTAGCAGAAATAGGGGTTCAGTATTGGGAGTTTAAAGAAATGTCATCAGTGTTTTACAGCATGTTAATTTAATCTTTGACATTGAACTATTTAGCTGGTTGAATCGTTTTACTATATCTTCTATTCTTATGTTTGCAAAACCTAGAATTTGGGGGAAAGGGTAAAAGAAGGCTGAGGACTACTTACTCTAGGGAAGAAAAGGAATTGGAAATGTAACCTTAAATAAACCAGAGAAGGAGTGGACAATGAAATACCATGATACTTTTATCCCTCCAATTTGTACTTTAGTTCGATTCTTTTTGTGTAGTTGTTCTTACGCATGCTGGTCTCAGGTGAGAAAAATTATGTTCTGTAACGGTTACATAACTTCCTAGGAAATCTGGTTCAACATGCATAATTGAATATTTTTCTCTTTGCGATATGCAGAGCGGGCCTTTTACTTTATTTGATTGAGAGGGCAAAGAAGTGCTTAGATTTTTCGGCAACACTCTACATTGTCCATCTTTTCATATGTATTGTCTATGGAGGTTGGCCTTCTTCAATAACATGGTGGGTTGTGAATATTACTGGGCTTGCAGTGATGGCATTGTTAGGTGAATACTTGTGTATAAGACGTGAATTACTAGAAATTCCAATTACAAGATACCGGTCAAGTAAGCTCCTTTTCCTTAGTGGTTATAGAATAATTTCTGACTGAGAACAGCTTCTTTCGTTATTTCATCTCTCTCCATCTCACTGGCCTGAACACTATCACTTTGTTCTGCCAAGTGCCATCTTTCAACTTTACACATTATTTTATCTTCTCTCCAGGATCCTGATTATTGACGCTACCTTATTCTGTATTGTGTTAATGCTTTTTGTGTTTTATTTTGGATCATTTATCTTTATCGAAATTTTTGGATCATTTATTTAAATTCCAAGTTGAAGCACTTGAGTTAATATTTATGCTATAGCTGTTTGGTTCTCACTGGAGGTCGGTTACACTTACACCTCATTTCTCTTCACCATTCCATAGAGTATGAAGATCTTCGTCAATTTAACTATAGTAGTAAACTTTGTGAGTTTCCTCTTTCAAGGGTGGTCAGATTGCAGCTTGTCATAGTCATAGGCTAAAAATGAGATATTGTGTATGATTTATTAACTCCATCTTGTTCCTATCTGAATTATTTGGGTGCAAGAGGTAGTTGGTACTTGATGTCGTCATTCACTAAGTTTTTCAATAAATTAGAGCAGTGGTTGCACTAATAAATTTGTTAAATGAGAGTAAGGCAAAAAAAGGTGAAGGGGAGGTGAGGTTGAACTAGAAGAAAGTGGTACAGTTGAAGTTGATGGAACTATTTAAATTAAATAGTTCCATAAATTCGGGTGTCATCTGCATAAAGTAGATGTGTGATTTCCATACTATTTGGTGTCCTATTGTTCACCTTGAGCTTCAGAAAACAGGAGAAGAACATTGCCAGCTATTTGTTGCACTTCTGCTTCCGACTTTGCTTTAGTTATCTGTTAGGCTTGTGTATTGGAACTCTCAATTTGTACTGAGAGAAGATCTAAATTATGATTGGCAGGGTCAGTCAGAGAGGAGACAAAAGAAGATTTGGATGAGGGAATCCCTTTGTATAGTGTGGACAATATGGCTTGAAAGAAATTGTAGGTGTTCTGATGACAGGGAGGAAACCATTGCTTTTGTATGTAACAGATATATTCAGCATCTTATGATTTGGTTTAATGCATTTTTTTATTTTGACGCTGATGTTGTGCTGGAATTCTTAGATTCTCTCCAGATTTAAGGGATCTAATTCCAGTATTTTTGTACTGATGCAGTATCGTCTTGGTACTGTTGTTTTTTGAAATAAAATTATCTTTACTTATCAAAAAGAGAGTCTCAGTTTGACAACTATTTATTACGCATATCAGAAGAGCAACTCACCACTATGTGACTTTAGTATAGTATTTGATGCGCATCTATTGGAAGTTCACATGCCATACTGTGTGTATGAATACTAGATAAGGTCCTAATTCTGCTAGGTTGTGAGTTCGAGTCACTCCAAAAGCAAGGTGGGAGTTCTTGGAGGGAGGGAGCCGAGGGTCTATCGGAAACAGCCTCTCTACCCAGGGTAGGGGTAAGGTCTGCATACAAACTACCCTCCCCAGACCCCACTAGAGGGATTATACTGGGTTGTTGTTGTTGTTGTCCTAATTCTGCTAGGTTGTGAGTTCGAGTCACTCCAAAAGCAAGGTGGGAGTTCTTGGAGGGAGGGAGCCGAGGGTCTATCGGAAACAGCCTCTCTACCCAGGGTAGGGGTAAGGTCTGCATACAAACTACCCTCCCCAGACCCCACTAGAGGGATTATACTGGGTTGTTGTTGTTGTTGTCCTAATTCTGCTAGTATGACTAATTTATTGAAATACATTAAAATGCGTAGATGTTTGACTGAGTTGAAACTCAATAGCAAGAACAAGTATCCTCTGATTTTATCATGGTGGCTTCTTTGTTTTCCAAGGAGAGGATCTTGGATAAGCTTGTGAGATCACAAGCTTGTCTTCTGATCTGACACCTGAAGCTTCTAGATGCAATTTATTTCCTTTTGGCGGCAGAAATGACAAATCGAATGTATTGGTAGATTGAAATGCTGAACAGGAAACAAGCTAAGCAGATCAGTGCTTAGCATTTTATGTACAAGCTAAGCAGAGTGAAATAGCATTTTGAATGAGATGACTGTGTGCTATAGTAGATTTCACACCCTCGGGAAGCATTTTGTTATTTGAACATTTTTAATGTTAAATTGCATGGTATGATGGTGTTGCACTCGATGTTCTTTTGTTAAGTCTTCTGATACAGTAATTGAAAGTTGCTTAATGCTTCTTGTTCCTCCTGTTCTTCTTCATGCTGGGACAAAGATATCCTATATTTGATTTTGTGGTCCATTGCAATCCTTTACTAAATTATATGGCCAATCCCCTAGGAGATTTTTATTTTTATTTTTACATGTTAAAGAACTGAAAATAAAATATAGGATATCTTTGTATGATTATTTTCTTCTATTCAAATTGTAAAGGGTTATGTTGTACCATTTCCTTCAAATGAATGGTTTGAGCTATGAATATAGGAGGATGACCAGAGTGCTAGCCATAAGCTCTCCACTCCGCCCCTTCTGCCTCTTCCAATAAGAAGAAAAGAGGAAAGAATATACTAAAGGGTAAATAGGTAAATAAATACTTATGTGGTAATTATATGATTGAATATGTTCACTGTCGTTTTCCTTGTAGAATAGGTACATTCTCCTGTGGCAGATCATCATCATCACTAACCTCTAACATTCTCTTAGTGATGTTAATGTCAGCACAAGGTCCATATGCCCAGCTACAAACCATAAAATAAAGCAGATTAAACGCTGTCATAATAGCAAGAAACCAGTAGTAATATTCATAGTGACCCTTGTTGATACTGCTTGAAACGCAACTCTCTTTCTCATCTCCTTTAGTATACTTATCCACAGCACTCAGGATTACACTTGCTAACAGATTTGCCACTGCCATTCCTAGTCCTAAGAGTGCAGACGCGAGACTTGACATACTCCTCGGGAGCTCAGAATAATAGAACTCTGTTTGGCCGATTGCACTGAATGCCTCTGCTATCCCATTCAAACTGTTTTGCAGTATGAGCCACATTGCTGACATTGCCACCAAACCTTCAGGTTTGTTGAAGAGCCCTTGATCGATTGGTCTTCTTCGTCGAACATGTTCCACAATACCAGAGACTAACATGGACATGCAAGAGATGAATATGCCAATTCCCATTCTGACAATAGGTTGTAGTCGAACTGGTCTTCCCCTGATCATCGATGCCAAAGGAAGGATCACGCGGTCATAGAGAAAAACCCAAAGTGTTAATGCTATCATCAAAAACATACCAAATGAGCCAGCTGGAATTTGAAATTTTCTCGTTAGATGTCTATCCATGGATTGAGCTTGTAGCAAAGGGAATGACGCTTGGCTTAAGTTTATTGATATCATGATCCCCGTCGACCACAATGGCATGACTCTAATGAGGGCTTTTAGCTCCTCAACTTGCTCTACTGTGCAAAGGTTCCATGGATTGACCGCAACTCCATTTGGCTTAACATCTTCAGGGGTCTTAATAATGCAAGCTTTGTTTAAGTATCTCAATTTCTCCGTTGGCACTTGAAGTTCTGAACCATTACTGTGAAGGTAATCAGAATTCTGAATAGGGTATGGGAGTTTCCTATTCTTGTAGGCAACCACAATTACTTGAATAAAGCTGCCAAACAAGTTTGAGCGAACCTTTTGCTTGATATAAAACGGAGAAGCAAGGAAGAAAAACAGCGCGGATAAGAACATGAGAATTGCAGGAACTCCAAAACCTATTTTCCAGCCCATCTTATCTTGAAGGTAAACGATACCCGTCAATGCAATCAGAACAGAGGCGATGGATGAAGCATAATATCAGGCAAAGAAGCTCTCCAACACCCTTTGGTTGTTGGGATTATCTCTCTTGTCAAACTGGTTAGCACCAAAGGCTAAAGAACATGGTCTTATACCACCAACACCAATTGACATGAGCAGAAATGAAAAGACCAAGAGCATGTATTGCGTTGTTGTGGCAAATTTACAAACCTGCCCTAATTGATCGCAAGGCGTTAGCCTTGCTTTCGGAATTATTGCTGTTAACCACAACATAGTTGTCCCCTGCAACAAAAAGTGCAAGTATAAGCAGAGGCAAATGCAGCCTAATATAGTGGGTTTAACTGAATCCAGTATTTCCACCAAATAACATAGATGTATATGTGAAAAACTAATAGCTTCAATGAATATACTTAGATCTAATATAATATGTTTAAATGTTAAGGACCTTAAAGGTTGAACCGTTATATCTAAATCCTGAATTAGCCTCTCTGGCATTAAGATGTTGAAGTTGGTAAATTAACTACGATTGTCTTGTCTTATGGGTGACCACATCTTTGCATTTTGCTAACGAGGGGGTGGGGGTGGTGGGGTTTAACTAATTGAACTGCTGCATTTATATCTTCTTCAGCTTGTGGTTATGGCCTTAAGGGACAACATACCCCTAGACATTATTGGAACACTGTTGCCCTTTCAGTGTAAGGCCATGCAATCTGCCAATCACCGAGATTTACTATCGGAGATTTAGAAAATAGTACTATAATATATTTACGGCTAAGAACCTTAAAGATTGAACTTATAATATAACTCCACGTTCATGACCGAAATGTAAATTACCAGGAAACTGAAGATGGAACCAAGGCCAATGGTGACGAAACGACCCAGATATGAATCAGCAACAAAAGCACCAACTAAAGGCAAGAAATTAGTAGCTGCTGACCAGAAAAACAGTAAATTTTGAGCAGTAGTAACCTCCATCCTATAATCTTTCATTAGATAAAATGTCATATTGGGTAAAAGCCCATAGCTTGCCACTTTCTCCAATGCCTCATTTGCTATTAACATAAAACCAAGAAACAAAAGAAAATTAATTACATGCATATCCAGAAATAAAGAAGTAAAAAAAAAAAAAAAAAAAGAGAACAAGAAATGGCACCTATAATAAAAGGCATGGTAACGAGGCCACCCTTTGGTCTACTTTTAATTGGAATTGAAGAAGAATGAGAAGAAGTTTGCTGCTCCTGATCTAAAGAAAGCATCTCTGTCAAATCCTGCTCCATTTAACTACTGGAAATTAAGCAGCAGCAGAGGAAGAGGAGCTGAGACTGTGTTTTAATTGTATAAATGTGACTCTCACATATAGGTGTTAAATTCAATTATTAATATCCCTCGTTTTCCTTCACTTTCCTCTATCCTCGAACCGTTGGCGAATCCAATAAATTCAATAAACGTGTTCAAATTTCTTTGTCTGTGGGTTATGCAAGGGTGTTCAAAGTCTATTTTTAATCAATAACAAGTACTCCCTCCGTTCACTTTTACTTAGCATGTATACTAAAAATAGATTTTCATTTTTACTTATCATTTTACGCATATCAAGAGAAGATAAAATTTTTTTCCTGTTATACCCACATTATTTATTACTCATTTCAAATCATTTTCTCAAATCCAATAAAATATGCATCAATTAATATGGGTATCATGGTAAATTATGCACTTTATTTATTATTTTTTAAGGGGCGTAAAAAGTCAAAACGTGCCAAATAAAATTGAACGGAGGGAGTAATATTTTACCTTATACGTAGTATAATTTTTCGGCGAAGGGTGATCAACTATTGGGCCAACATAGCTTCGCCCCTACCTCCAACATAATCGAAATTTAACTAGAAATATTTCTAAAACTAGTTTTTCAATTTGGGATGAAATGCTTCAAGTTGAAGTAGAAATAAATGATAAACATTTACAAAATAAATATCGAGTTACAAATAATGTATATATGTCTGAACGCTTAAGTCTTCATTTGTTTCGGTTTTCCCTTCGGTAAATTTCAATTCAATAAATACTTAGAGTGGATTCACCATGAAAATTACACTTGCCGTCCTCGAAAGAAAAAAGGAATAGGGGATTAACGTTTACAATATATCCAATGTGGGTTAGCCACGTGATTAAGGAATTATTACAATTCAATTAAGTCACCTTTCATTCATTTTTTTCTTTTTAGAATTCAATTTAAGTCAACTTAACCTTTCATTCATTTTTGCCATGTGAATGGCCCTATCTTGTATTTTAAGGCTTTTTGTGCTATACCCCGTATTGAGAAAGACCGCTCTCCTATATAGAAATACTACATAAGGCCTCCTTAGTCTGCCTGATTCAAATACCATTTTATCCTACCTAAATCACTATCCCCCTCACATTATATTTTCGTGAAAGAAATAAGAATTGCTTGTCAAGAAAAAA